CTATTCTATTCTATATTCTGTTCTGTTCTATATTCTATTCTATTCTACTATTCTATTCTAAATTCTGTTCTATTCTATTCTATTCTATTCTATTCTATTCTATTCTATTCTATTCTATTCTATAACACAGATGTTTTAAATATTCATTCTCCTTAGGACACCTTTATAGATCTCCTGGAGCTCAATCAAGCTCCCCAGGCTCATGTCTCTGGAAGTGAAATTAAATGTCCTATCTATATTTGGTCTGCTTATCACTAGAGGGCAGCCTTCTCTATGAAGGAAATCCTATACCATTTCAGAAAAATGGATGTCCAGGCTCTTCTTGAAAATCATCCCGATGGAGCACCCACAACTTCAAGAGGCAAGTTGTTCCACTAATTAATTGTTCTCACTATCAGGAAATTTCTTCTTAGTTTTAGATTGGATTGCTTATTGATTAAGTTCCATCCATGGCTTTTTGTCCAACCTTCAACTTCTTTTATTGAGATTAATTAATGGTTTACATCCACTGTAGTTATTCTTTATTTGTTTAAATGATTTCCCCCTATTTTCCCCTCTTTAATGTCCTCCTGGAGAATTAAAAGTATACAGTTGGAGCAGAAAACAATTTTCACCTAATAAAGTTAATGCATACAGTATGGTGAACATAACATTTATACATATTTTTCAGGTTTTTGAAAAACTCTTGGTGGTATTATCAGCCAAATCTATTTCCCTTTTATTCAGAAGTGTATGTAAATATGGGGCTGACCTTCCTCTTTATATGACATCATCTCCCACCCTCCTCAGCTAGTGGTTGGAGAGCAAAAGTCAGTCTGCCTGGAACTTCTCCACTGAGAAAGAAAAATGATATTTCTGCTCCAACTAATCCCCATTTTAGCAATCATCAAAGGTAATAGTTCTTCCAGAGATGGAAGCTAACAGGCTCCTATATGCTTGAGGTAAATGGACTGCATCATGCTGGATACTAAAATGTACATATCAATATTTCCTTTCCAGATGTGCAAATGGAGGTCCAGTTGGTGGAATCTGGAGGGGATGTGAGAAGGCCTGAGGAGTCCCTCCGCCTCTCCTGCCAAGCTTCAGGCTTCACCTTCAGCAGCTATGAGATGAACTGGGTGAGACAGGCTCCAGGAAAAGGACTGGAATGGGTTGGCTGGATAGACAATGAAGGAGATGGGAGCACCCAATACTATGCTAATTCTGTGAAAGGCCGTTTTACCATCTCCCGCCGAGATGCCTCCAGCATGCTTTATCTCCAAATGAACAGCCTGAAACCAGAGGACACCGCTGTGTATTACTGTGCTACAGACTCACAGTGAGAGGAAGCTATGGTGCAGCCTGACAAAATCCCTTTTAGCTCATGGCTGGTGTCCAAGTTGAATCAGCTTTCATGGCCTCAGTTAAAGAAGGGAAGTTACATCTCAATGCAGAAAAATAGAACAGAATCTCTTTCATTTTCTCGACTGGTGATCTGTAGAAGCCACAAATATTGAAGGAGTTGTGCTATCCTGATCATTTCTGACCCAGTTTTTGTTTGCTGAAACAAATGAAAAACTGTTTACTGCTTACTCATAGGAAAACAAGAACAAAGCATGTCTGGCAATACTTTTCTTAGGAATGGAGCATTATTTGAAAGTCACACATGCTAGGTCTGTCCAAAAAAAATATCTAAGTGAATGCACTGAAAGGCACATTTATCCCAATCAATGTATAAATCAGGGCACAATTTCCCCTTTAAAGGAGCTGCATGGTTCCCCTTTTCAGGCTACACCCACCAACACAAACTTTGTGAACTTTCCAAACTTCTCAACAATCAGTTCCACTCCATTCATTAGAGAGAGCAGCAATGATCCTGTGGCTAAGTGTGGTGTCCTTACTAGCTGTCCTCAGAGGTAATTCTAATCCTCTGTATTAAGCCTTTTCCATTTTAATTCTTATAAAGAAGTGTTTGCTAAAACAACTTTCATTTTAGGTGACCAATCTGAGGTCCAGTTGGTGGAAACTGGAGGGGATGTGAGAAGACCTGGAAGGTCCCTCCACCTCTCCTGCCAAGCCTCTGGGTTCACCTCCAGCAGCTATGCAATGGACTGGGCGAGACAGGCTCCTGGAAATGGACTGGAATGGGTGGCATACATAAGCACCAATTCTGGTACTATTTACTACTCTGACAAAGTCAAAGGGTGCTTCACCACCTCCAGGGACAATGCCAAAGGCCAGGTGTATCTGCAAAAGAAGAACCTCAAACCAGAGGACACAGCAGTCTATTACTGTGGGAGAGACACACTGAGAGGAAGTGAATCGGAAACCAGCCAAGAACCTTTCCTGCCTCAGAGCAGATCTCCCAATGGATTCAGTCTCAGAAAGTTGAATTTGAGTCTTTGAACTGAGGAGTAGGTGATTGATCTGCATTGTAGCAGAAGAATATTCCATGGATCCAATATTCCATGGAATATTTTAAGACTTAAAAATATATAAATTAGGGAAAATAGAAGCCCAAAGAGATATTCCCTTTCTAAAATGGAGATGAAGGGTACCTTTGTTTTACACTCACAAGAAATCAGTGATGGTTCATAGAGCTAACAATACAGTGTTGCAAGTTGTGTGTGATAGGCTGTAGGGAAGGGACTAGAATGGATTGTATGATGTCCCTAAACAAGTCTGTGCAGAATCCGGGAAACATTTTTTTTTTTGCCCTTATTTTGTATTTATTTATTTATTTTATTTATTTTATTTGCCAATTGTTTACAAGATAATAAGTATAAATGTATACATAGTTGTGAATACATGAAATGGGTACATATAAGAAAAATAAAAGAATAAGAGAAACAATAGGACAGGGACGGTAGGCACGTTGGTGCGCTTATGCACGCCCCCTACAGGCCTCTTAGGAAAGGGGTGAGGTCAATAGTAGACAGTCTAAGGTTAAAGTTTTTGGGGTTTGGGGAAGAAACTACAGAGTCGGGTAGAGTATTCCAGACATTGACCACTCTATTGCTGAAGTCGTATTTCCTGCAATCAAGTTTGGTGCGGTTTACTTTGAGTTTGTATCTATTGTGTGCTCTTGTGTTGTTATGGTTGAAGCTGAAGTATTCATTGACAGGTAGGACATTGCAATGTATGATTTTATATACCATGCTTAAGTCAGACCGAAGACGGCGTAATTCAAGGTTTTCTAGTTCTAGAATTTCAAGTCTGGTGGCATAAGGTATTCTACAACGAGTAGAGGAGTGGAGAACTCTTCTTGTGAAATATTTCTGGACTTTCTCAATTGTGCTAATATCAGATACGTAATGTGGGTTCCAGACTGATGAACTGTATTCGAGTATTGGTCTAGCAAATGTTTTGTATGCTCTGGTTAGTAGTGTGATATTACCAGAGAAAAAGCTACGTAGGATTAGGTTAACAACTCTTAATGCCTTTTTGGCTATGTAGTTGCAGTGGGCTCTAGCACTTAGATCATTAGAGGTGAGTATTCCAAGGTCCTTTACAGAGCTTGGGTCATCAACAAGGTCTTGACTATTCAGCTTGTATTTTATTTTCTGATTTTTTTTGCCAATATGTAAGACAGAGCATTTATTTGTTGAGATTTGAAGTTGCCATTTATTTGACCATTCTGATACATAGTCAAGATCTTTTTGTAGGGTAGCAGTATTGTCTGTGGTATTGAACAGCTTTACATCATCAGCGAAGAGAACGCAATTGCTCTTAATATGATCACAGAGGTCGTTTATGTAGAGTATGAAGAGAGTTGGTCCTAGAACACTGCCTTGGGGAACACCACTATTGACAGGTACTGGATTTGATAGGACGCTCCCGATTTTGACCATTTGTTGTCTGTTTGACAGGAATGCTTCTATCCAGTTATTCAGTTGTCCAGAGATACCATAGGATTTTATTTTTAGGAGTAGTTTGTCGTGTACCACTGAATCAAAGGCTTTACAGAAGTCTATGTAGATTGCGTCTATTGCTTTGCCCTGGTCGAGTTGTGTCGTCCATATGTTTTTGCAGTGTAAGAGTTGCAGATTACAGGATAGTTTTTTTCTGAAACCAAATTGTTTATTGGAGAGTAGGTTATTTGTCTCTAAGTGGAGGATGATGGATTGGTTAATAATTGATTCCATGACTTTACAGGTGACGCAGCATAAGGAGATTGGCCTGTAATTTTCAACTAGGCTTGGGTCTCCCTTTTTGAAGATGGGGATGACTGTGGCTTGTGACCATAGGTTAGGCAAGGAGCTGGTTCTGAAAGATTTTTCAAAGATTATGCTTAGAGGTTTGGCTATGGCAGTGGATAGCTTTCTTAAGAAGTAGGGACATATTCCATCCGGTCCAATAGATAGAGATGGTTTTAGATTGCGTTCTCATTCTTTACCATCTCCAGAGACAAATCCAACTGCCTTCTGTATCTGCAAAGGCATGTCACAAAGAGTCACAAAAGACCTACTGTTTTTTACCATGACTGAAATAATGCCTGTGTTTTCAGCTGTAAACTTTACTGCTTCTCCAGTTTCTTACTGGGAAATTAATATAGTTTCTTGAAGGAAAAAAATAATAATGGTCCTTTGAGAATTTCACTCCCCAAGAGTTCTCAAAACTTCTTCAAAGTCATGCTTCAATGTGTATAGCAAACAAAAACAAACAGAAAATGCCTTTTACTGCCATTTACTGTTTTCATAAATGGTGGTTGATGAACAAAATAAAAGGTTATTTGGGTTACATCTTTGACTTCAGACAGTTAAAGTACTAAATCCACAATTATATGAAATGTAAAAATGGTCCCTGAGATCCTCCTGTAATTGAGCTCAAATCAAGCTGCCCAGGCTCATGTCTCTGGAAGTGAAATTAAAGTTGCTATCTGTACGCCATCTGCTTATCACTAGAGGGCAGCCTTCCCTGTATAATACCACTGAATGTTATTTTCCTCAGTTTTTCTTTGAAAAATTGGTCACTTCTCTCCGCAAATCAAAGAAGACTTCCCACTATTTATCCTTCCTTAAATCAACTGAATTGATTTTAGGGCTTTATTCCTATTTCTCATTCTAGCAGGATACTGCTTGGCCACAATGTCTTACTAAATATGGCTAAATTTGACATCATATTTGTCTGTTAAACATGGCTCAATGCATCTCTCCCTGACTCCATTACTACAGTAAGAGACTACCTTGGTTACTGATCAGATCGTGAAATCCGTAGAGGAGGAGGTGTTGCTATCTTCTATAAACAGTCCTTACATCTAAAAAACATCCAAGTTCCCCAGGAGCTTGCTCTTCCTGAGACCATTGTCTGTGAACTGTCCTTAAATATCACATTTTGGTTCTTACTATGTTACAGAGCCCCTGATTATGACATTGAACATGCAAACAAGCTAAATACACTACTAACACGGGCAGCATCCTGCCCACACGCTTTTATCTTTCCTGGTGACTTCAATCTACCTCATATTAACTGGACCCTTAATGAATGTGCAACTGAACCCACATATGCAACTTTCTACAATGCTGTAACAAAGCTGGGACTGGAACAACTAGTAACCAACAATGCTAGAGTTAACAACTGCCTCGATCTCTTCTTCTGCAATAGTTTGAATACAGTTTACGGAATACAAATTAAAGAACCCTTTTCCAACAGTGACCAAAACATGATTGACTTTTGTCTCAACATGTGTTTACACAGAAATCATCACAACAATGGAATCCCCAATTATAACTTCAAAAAAGGCAACTATGATCTTATTAATAACGATCTCTCATCCCTTGATTGGCAACTTCTATTCACTGGATGCAATACTGTTGAAGACCATTACAACATATTTTTACTTGAAGTCAGAAGGTTCGTCAAACTATATGTACCAATAACAACTCCCAAAACTAGAAAAATAAAATTACCCATAACAATAAGGAAGTTTCAATCCAAAAAGAAATCACTTTGGTGGAAAAACAAATCTGGTCACATTGCCAACTTCAAAAGTCGATACAAAAATTTATGCCACCAGATAAAGACTGAACGCACCAATTATTACATTAAACAAGAGGAAAAGCTTCTACGCACCAATTCCACCCACGCTTTCTACAATTTTGTAAACAACAAACTAAAAGACTCAAGGTCCATCCCACCCCTGAAAGGACCAAATGGTAAAGACTGCAATGATGACACCATTAAAGCCAACCTCTTTAACACATTCTTTGGCTCAGTAATTCTAAACAGCAATGGATCATGCCCAGTATTTCCTAGTCGAACCACAGATGACTACAATGATCCAATACATATCGATTTCATGGAAGACAACGTTGAAAAAGCACTACGCAATATAAAACCATCTCTATCTATTGCACCGGACGGAATATGTGCCTACTTCTTAAAAAAGCTATCCACTGCCATAACCAAACCTCTCGACATAATCTTTGAAAAATCTTTCAGTACCAGCTCCTTGCCCAACCTATGGTCACAAGCCACTGTCATCCCCATCTTCAAAAAGGGAGACCCCAGCCTAGTTGAAAATTACAGACCAATATCTTTATGCTGTGTCACCTGTAAAGTCATGGAATCAATTATTAACCAATCCATCATCCTCCACTTAGAAACAAACAACCTACTCTCTAATAAACCATTTGATTTCAGAAAAAAAACTATCCTGTAATCTGCAACTCTTACACTGCAGAAACATATGGACTACACAACTCGATCAGGGCAAAGCTATAGATGCAATCTACATAAACGTCTGTAAAGCCTTTGATTCAGTGGTATACAACAAACTACTCCTAAAACTAAAATCTTATGGTATCTCTGGACACCTGCATAACTGGATAGAAGCATTCCTGTCAAACAGACAACAAATGGTCAAAATTGGGAGCGTCCTATCAAATTCTGTACCTGTGAACAGTAGTGTCCCACAGGGCAGTGTTCTAGGACCAACTCTCTTCATACTCTACATAAATGATCTCTGATTAAGAGCAACTGCATTCTCTTCACTGATGTGAGACTTTCTAGAGGCAACTTCTAGAGGAAAAGCTGTTCCACTGATTAATTGTTCTCAATATCAGGAAATTTCTTCTTTGTTCCAGGTTGGATCTTTTTATGTAGATTAACAGAGTTGGAAGGGACCTTGTAGGTCATCTAGTACAACCCTCCATTGAAGCAGACCCTGCACCATTTTTGACAGATGGCAGTCATGTCTCTTCTTGAAAGTTTCCAATAATAAACTACCATAATTTCTGAAGGCAACTACTGTTCCATGAGTTGATTGCTCTCACTGTTAGTTTCATCCATGGCTTCTTTTCCTGACTTCAACCTCTTTTATTTCCTGCCATCTACCTCTTTTATTTGCATCTCCAGTAGTAATTCCTTATTTGTTGAAATAATTTTCCACTCTTCTCCCTATTTAAATGACCAACTGGGAATTTAATTCTAAAGTTGGAGCAGAAAATAATGTTCAATCTAACAAAGTTATTTGCATTCATTTCACATTGTCTAAAACATCAAAACAGATCTGTAGATTGTGAATAAGATGTGGTGGTGTATTTCTCATTATTATTATTATTATTATTATTATTATTATTATTATTATTATTAT